TTCCTAAAGTTATTGTTAAGAAAAGGTTATAAAATGCAACGAAAGGGAGAAGTTGTGAACAAAGCATATTACACTCTTAAGGTTATGAAAGACAAGACAGAGTATGAACAAGGGGTGTGGTAATCTAGTACGATGGCCAGAGTCTGCAACAGACATCCAAAAGCCTAAAGAAATGAGGCAGCAGATGATTTTAGATTTAGGCTACAGGAATTTCTAAACCTGCGGTGGTTATTCTGAAAGGCATAAAATGTCTAGTTAAAGTCTATGGGCTTAAGCAAACTGAACCGTAGTATCTATTATGTATGACACACACACAAGGCATTGAGATATTATGTTTATCAAACTGAACCGTAGTATCTATTATGTACGACACACTCACAAGGCATTGAGATATTATATTTACAGTCTTATTCTTTTCCATAAATACTTTCCGTAAGTCACCGGAAATCACTGGAACCAGACATAATACATCTAATAGAATTAACCAAGATTTGCATATGATTTACCTAATTCCCCATCGTGGTTCAGAGTTGGTAGGAAGCGTCTGAAGTCAGCCCAGAGAAAGAAACCGGCTTGTGCAGGTCGAACTTCGACACCAAGGGAGGCAAGGGTGCTTCGTGTTTTGTGAGCAGCTTCACAGAGACGCTGCTGATGAATTGGTAAGAACACTTCATCCATCCATACTGTATTACCAAACAATCAAGAACAGAACATAAAGACACAGAAAATAAGTGTCAATTAAGCATAAGCAGGCATCTTTTTGTGAGCTTCTCTGTGATAATGCCTCCAACCGCAAGTATTTCTTCTCTTTTTTCAATATTTCAATGCTAAAACAATGTGACGGCAGTTAACCACTGCTCAATTCAGCTGTACAGAGTGTATAATTCACAAGAAAACACAAATAAGTGGCTCCTATATTTTTAAGATTACAGGCCAGTACAACCTCTGCAGGAAATGAGACATAAGTAAATAATATACCTAATAAATTTTATGATAATAATTTGTATCATCCAGATCCTTACGTCGACCATGGAGAAATTTACGACTCTGTGTAAAGAAAGAGAGAAGAGGTGTGTGTGGGGGGGGAGGGAACTCAGAATTGCGTAAAACAAGTGACAGAGACATTGTGCTTAAGTGTGTGATATATATAGTGTGCTCATTACATCAATCACAAATTTTGTTTATTCAATCACAAGTCAGCTTGTATGAAGTCCAAAATGAAATAAATAGCATTTCAGAATCAAGAATGTAAATATGATGAACTTCAGATTCAAGCAATTTCTACTTTCAGCTTATTCTAAAACAGTTTTGACGTGCCTCAAATGGGAATAAATATTAAATTACATACCTGCATCATTTAATAACTTGGTTGCTGCTTTTTGGACAATTGCAGGCACTGCAGTGTACATGGAAGTATTCTTCACAACATGCAACAAATCTTTATTCTGAGTAATAACAGCACCTATCCGTATCCCGGCCAGGTTCATATCCTGTGTAATCAGTTAAGATGCGTATAATATACACTTAAAAAAATAGGCTAGTCAGTCGAAAAGCATGAAAATGTGCTCGCCTAAAAAAATCCAGTTTCATAAGTTATTACCAGTGTAAGAGTTACGTTGTAAATACAATTAAATGAAATTTCATGTTATAAAAAAACAATAATTTTTTATTTTGCTATAGATGCAATACATGACCACCTACTTTCAGAGAAAGTGCTCAGAAAAATATTCGGAGCTAATAGAGTTGGGGTGAGAAGGATATTTATTACACAAAGAGGAACTGTGTGATTTATAAAGGTCACTATTGCTTTGGTGGTGATATATATTGGTGTGTAAATGGGTTGGACACATAACCAGGATGGGAGGGAAACCTTTCAGGAAACAGCTGCTCGGAAGACTGAAAATGGATGGAACTGCCTCAGGATTATGTTCAATGTTGCAGAATCTCAGGTGTTAGTACATAAATTTCAGGATTGTGACAATTATTTATGTTTTTAATCTCTCAAAAATCACACAAATGAAGTATGGCTGTATGTAAATATCCAAAGATGGGATAAAATCAGGTTAGTGCACACCTTACTAAAGGACCAAATAACATGGGTCCTCTGCGGGTCTGGAAGAGACGGTTGGCTCAGCACACTTTGGAATGTTGTTTGTGATTCATAAATTGACAGTGCATATGCTTCATCCGAGATAAAATGCAGTCCATATCTAGAACGATGCTTCATCTGAGATAAAATGTAGTCCATATCTAGAAAGTACATAAATAAAAACAACAATGTATAATTTGTAATAAGTTGTTCATCAGAAGTCTTGATGCCACCTTCAATGTGTATGGAATTAGGTGGACTGTGAAAGCTGAATAGCTGCATCCACTGACATATATGAGGTAATATGGTATCATTATGCAGTTTCTTTTCAAGAAAAAGCTAAATAAGATAATAGTACTGAATAAGAACATATTTCCAGCAGTACTCGACCTTTCATTTCACGATGCCTCACAAGTGATAACAAAATAGATATTCAGATGTTCTTCATGCACTAGTATGAGTGAAATATACTTTATGAGCCAGTCCATGTCTGTCTGTCACACATTTTGCAAGAACAGTACTAGATCACATTATTGTAATCCACTAATGAAACAAGGTAACTAAGGAACCCCACCATTTTGAACACACTGCTACATAAAGAAGAGATACAAGGGTGTCAAATGTTGACTGAGCTACCCTGCTCATGCAATGAGTCTGTAGAAACAGAAAATCCAATCAAATTCATACTGACCTATGGCACACCTCCATTAGTTGTAGTACCAACTTAGGGCCATAAACTTCCCCTAGAGGATTATTGGGGTTAACAAGGAAGAATGCCTTCACTGTACTCCCTCTTGCCAACTGCTCCATAATGGCAGCTTCCAGAACATCAGCAGTAAGCTCAAATGTTGATGTCTCTCCAATGCTGATCTGAAAATTAAGTAACGCGTTTACAAAACATTTGTATTTTATAATCCAGAATAAAATGTCGTAAAAGTTTTTGTATTTATTGTACTTAACATCAAGGAAATTACAACTTCCACAAAAATGAACAAACATAATTTGGGTCCATATCAAGTATTCTGAAGAAATTGCATTAACTGAAGAGCACACGTATAGTACAGAACTTGAGAATGTGATATATCAGAATTAGACCCAAAAGTGTGTACAGTATTTTGCGCAGTAGTAGAGTACTACAGATCTCACATCTGAATTCTCAACACAATGTGTTATCAACAATGAATCTAATTAATGCGTAAAATTAAATAAAATGAATGACGTCTTTCACAACTCTACCAACAGGTGAGTTAGCAGCGGCTGATGGTTAGTACATCTTAAGTTTCAGACTAAATTTATTAGAAATGCAATGAACAAAACCATTCGAGAATATTTCAAAATTAAAGTAACCGGGAAAGATATTACCAAACACAAATGAAGGATGTAATGAAACTAAAAGGAAAACAACTTCTAGCAATGATTGCTTTTAATAGACTCAAAATCTGTTAAATCACTGCATTTACATTCCAAAATAATATGTACTCAATGAACATAACAACTATTTTCTTGACAGCTGTTTCAAGTACGTCTTTTTCTTTAAAGGATGAACTCAAAAGTACTAGAACCTAAGTGCTGAGTAAAATATTTGGATGTATGGAATTTGAAATATATGACTGATTGGTTAATGGGTTTCTCTGATTTACTTTCATGGTTATTTAACAACACTTTTTCAACTACATACATTAGACAGCATCAAATGGTAAACATTACTGTAAATGATGCATTGGAAAGAAATGGAAGTGTTCA